GAGGATCTTCATAATTGTTATCATATCAGGTTCAAGCAACATTGAAGGATGCTAACGGTTTCGTCGATTATGGAAAATTTAAATATATTTAAAATCGTTGGCAGGATAACTCCATTATTTAGACAAAGAAAAGAATATTGAAGTATTTTGCCTCGCTAAAATGGATTTTTTTTTTTTTTGAAAATCACACCCTAACTTAAGTATCTCGAAAACGGATATCTCAAATGCCATGGACATATCGAGGTGGTAAGAAGTCCAGTCCCAAGCACTTATTCTCTAGACATGTCGAACCCTAGAATATTTGTTATTTTAGAACAATGTTGTAATTGTGAACTTCTTTACCCTATCCGAATTCCATGAAGAACAACAGATATTTGTCCCAGTTGAAACTGGAATACTTTGTATCTGTAATAAGGAACAAAATCATGGACTTTGTATCTGTAATAAGCTGTAATAAGGAACAAAATCATGGCCTTTGTATCTGTAATAAGAAACAAAATCATGGTCTTTATATCTATAATAAGGAACAAAATCATGGCCTTTGTATCTGTAATAAAAAACAAAATCATGGTCTTTATATCTGTAATGGAAAACAAAATCATGGACTTTGTATCTGTAATATAAAACAAAATCATGGACTTTTTATCTGTAATAAAAAACAATATCATGGACTTTGTATCTATAATAAAAAACAATATCATGGACTTTGTGTCTGTAATAAAAAACAAAATCATGGCCTTTGTATCTGTAATAAACAACAAAATCATGGACTTTGTATCTGTAATAAGCTGTAATAAGGAACAAAATCATTGTCTTTGTATCTATAATAAGGAACAAAATCATGGTCTTTGTATCTGTAATGGAAAACAAAATGATGGACATTGTATCTGTAATAAAAAACAAAATCATGGACTTTGTATCTGTAATAAAGAACAAAATCATGGCCTTTATATCTGTAGCAAAAAACAAAATCATGGACTTTGTATCTGTAATAAAAAACGAAATCATGGACTTTGTATCTGTAATAAAGAACAAAATCATGGCCTTTATATCTGTAACAAAAAACAAAATCATGGACTTTGTATCTGTAATAAAAAACAATATCATGGACTTTGTATCTGTAATAAAAAACAAAATCATGGCCTTTGTATCTGTAATAAAAAACAAAATCATGGACTTTGTATCTGTAATAAAAAACAAAATCATGGCCTTTGTATCTGTAATAAAAAACAATATCATGGACTTTGTATCTGTAATAAAAAACAAAATCATAGCCTTTGTATATGTAATAAAAAACAAAATCATGGACTTTGTATCTGTAATAAAAAACAAAATCATGGACTTTGTATCTGTAATAAGGAACAGAAACAGGGCCTTTGTATCTGTAATAAACAACAAAATCATGGACTTTGTATCTGTAATAAAAAACAAAATCATGGACTTTGTATCTGTAATAAAAAACAAAATCATGGCTTTTGTATCTGTAATAAGGAACAAGAACAGGGCCTTTGTATCTGTAATAAACAACAAAATCATGGACTTTGTATATGTAATGAAAAACAAAATCATGGACTTTTTATCTGTAATATGGAACAAAAAGAGGATGAGTATCACTCTAGAACGTTAATCTTTCAGAATGCCGGGAAAAGTGTCGTTTTAAAACATATTGAAATTTATCAACTTTTTTTTTTTTTTTTTACAAATTCTCGGAATGAGTGTCAACTGATGATTTAAATGTATCGATCTATTGTGTATTAACATATCTAAAAGATAGGAACAAGTCCCATGAGATATCGAGGTTTGACTTCATACAAATTTCAGGCTATCCCCTCTAAATATCTTTAAACAAATGAACCGTACACGAACTATTTCTAAGGAGGATATCTTCACCTAAAATGTCTAAATGATATTCTTTTTTATAATAGAATATATGTCCAGTAAAATTAAGCTCCATAGTATTCACTTTTTAATATGTATAGAACAATTTGTGGTAACCTCTTATCTTAAAATTTTTAAAAAGCCATGTGCTTTAAAGTTCTTATGAAAGTTCAATGTTATAAAAACTTGAAATCCACATCAACAAAGTTACAGAATAATCAAAATATACATGATTTGTATTGCAATGCACAAAAGAACAAAGAAATTACCAAAATAGTATTTTTTTTTATGAAAAGAGCTTGATGGATTCTCTCGAAAATCTAAAACAAAAAAAATTGAAGACTTAAAATGATAAAAATCAAAGACATTGAATATTTCTATAAAAATATTACAAGAAATTTTAACATCACGAAAAAGACTTCCCGAAAAGTTTTTTTTTTTTTTTTTTTTTTTTTTTTTTTTTTTTTTAAAATTCTTTATTCATTATAGGGACCTAGTTAGAAAATACAATTTATCATTGGGTCGTCTTCCATAACAATTAGACGCTTTGTTTTTACCACAAAATCTGACTACTGATTATCCACCGGTCCAACTTATCAATAAAGGAGGCTTTGACTTGACAAAGGAGTATGCTTTTTCCTGCTAGGCACCTGATCCTTCCTTATAAGTTTCCAGGGATCCATGTTTACAGATCTGTATTGTTTGGGTAATTTTTAGATCGACCACTGTTTGTTATCTTTATCAATTGTTTTTATTTGACAATGTTTTCAGATTTTTAACTAAGTCAAAAAATAAGGTGTTGTTGACTACTTTTTATGGATTAAAAGCATAAACAAAAGTTGAAACTTGAAGAGAAATCTATATATTATTGGCGAATCAGATAGTTGTCCCTTTGACCTTTAAATATCTAAATTTTAATTTTATTAGGAGAAAGAAACCTTCATCAAATGAAGAAAATAATTTTAAAAGTGCGATAATGTAAAAACAGCTAATTCAAAAACACATGACAGTGACTTAATATTAGACATGTGACAGCTAATTCAAAAACACATAACAGTGACTTAATATTAGACATGTGACAGCTTATTCAAAAACACATAACAGTGACTTAACATTAGACATGTGACAGCTAATTCAAAAACACATAACAGTGACTTAATATTAGACATGTGACAGCTAATTCAGAAACACATAACAGTGACTTAATATTAGACATGTGACAGCTAATTCAGAAACACATAACAGTGACTTAATATTAGACATGTGACAGCTAATTCAGAAACACATAACAGTGACTTAATATTAGACATGTGACAGCTAATTCAAAAACACATAACAGTGACTTAATATTAGACATGTGACAGCTTATTCAAAAACACATAACAGTGACTTAGCATAAGACATGTGACAGCTAATTCAGAAACACAAAACAGTGACTTAATATTAGACATGTGACAGCTAATTCAGAAACACATAACAGTGACTTAATATTAGACATGTGACAGCTAATTCAGAAACACATAACAGTGACTTAACATTAGACATGTGACAGCTAATTCAGAAACACATAACAGTGACTTAATATTAGACATGTGACAGCTAATTCAGAAACACATAACAGTGACTTAATATTAGACATGCTTTAAACACATAACAGTGACTTAATATTAGACATGCTTTAGTCACATAACAGTGACTTAATATTAGACATGCTTTAGACATGAACTATTTCTTAAGAAAAAGCAAACTTTCATTTTAATATTTGGAACTGCAAAATAAACATTTATGGTAATTCATATCAGATTCAACAAATCAGTATTTAAATGATTGAAACATACAGAGTACGTAACACTTAGCCAATCACTTTTCAGTAACTGATATATGTTTTGATATTTACCATATTGAAATTCTTACAGGTACGCTGCAGGTAGCTTTAAATGAAAATTACGCTATGGGCGCTCTTTAGGTTATCTACTCAATCTTTGTCTTGTTTCCGTTGTCTCAGTCTACCACTATTTGGCGGAAATATACCGCAAAACTAGAACTGGATGATAAGAAATCAAATGACGAACTTTTTAGAGAATACAATTCTACATCAGTGCGAGAATGCGCAGCGCACTGTCAAAGGGAGTGTAGTTTATATGGATTTAATCCACAGGTGAAGAAATGTCGTAGCCACAAGAAAATTTTCACGTCGGGGATGTCTAGGGAGGAGGGCTGGAGATACTACTCTCATGACTGTATGTATAACTGTTATTTTTCTTCGTTTGTCAGAAATCACATAAACATTATTAATTTTTATCGCTTAACATTATTAATTCTAAATAATAGTCCTGTCTGTTTACTTATTTTTTTCTAATTATTTTTATTTCGAATGGAAACATAATTTGAAATTGAAGTAATTTTATTTTTTTCCCTATATTTTATTTCTTTCTGTAAGTATTATCTTCGATTAAAAAAAAAGAGCTTCTACTGTGAAGGAAATACTAATAAGAAAAGGATCAAAGCTTACACTGTCACACAATATAGAAATAAATTCATTTCAAGCTTTATAAAATTGTATCATTCTCAACCATTAGAAAACTGTTGTTTGTAATTGATTAAAAAATAAACAAGGATAAGCATTCTCTGTCGCCCGATATTCTTTTTTAAAAGAAATTATAGATTAACCCATCACTAATCATATATTCATGTATATACATACTATGATTCCAGTATTTTTTTTTTCTTTTTTAATTCCTGTAGATTGTAAGTTTTTTTCTACTTTAGTTATTCCCTTAGATTGTAAGGATCTTCACGCAGATGGTCAGACTAATACAGAGGTGTATGAAATTTACCCCCTTGGCACCATTACCAGTCCTGTCAGAGTTTACTGCGAAATGGAGACAATGGACGGAGGATGGACGGTATGTAGATTATTACTATATGACATTACCAGTCCTGTCAGAGTTTACTGTGACATGGAGACAATGGACGGAGGATGGACGGTATGTAGATTATTACTATATTACATTACCAGTCCTATCAGAGTTTATTGTGATACGGAGACAATGGACGGAGGATGGACGGTATGTAGATTATTACTATATTACATTACCAGTCCTGTCAGAGTTTACTGTGATATGGAGACAATGGACGGAGGATGGACGGTATCTAGTTTATTTTAAAATTAAAGCTACATAGCATAATTCACACTCAGTGATCTTGCTGTTTTAAGGGTTGTAGGATAAAAAGTGAATATTTTGAGTTTATATCATAACATATTGATCATACAATTGTTCGAAATTGTAATGTTATACATGCTTTCTTTAAAAGGCAATCCAAAAACGTGTTAATGGATCTCTGAGTTTTGACAGGACCTGGGCGGAATATAAGAATGGTTTTGGTTCACCGGAACAGGATGTCTGGGTTGGTAAGTGTAAATCACTTTCAAATAATCACTTTCATCCTCTTCAAAGTTTGACAAAATTTCTTTATTGTGGCTGATAAAAAATGGAAGCATATCAAAGATCTGATTTTAAGACTGGGTAATATGTGTTCAACGATACTCACTAATTGTGCTTTGTGATATCTTAAATAATATGAAAAAAAGAGAGAGAAAGGTCATTTAGCGACATAGTCTTAATGAAACCAAAATTAGCATCAATGTCTACAGCTAAAAGAAAACAATCTGATTTTTCATGAAGGTACTGTAAACGTATTACATTTGGCTGTGTATTCTTTTTAGCGCCTTTGGCGGAAAGAAACTTCCGCTAATCAAAGTACTACGCTAAATGTCTTGTACATATATACATAAATATGGACATTAAGAAACGCACTAAATCAAATCTACGCTAACTTGTTCAAAAATCAATTTCCGAATATTATACACGCTAAATAGAATGCATTTACAGTATATTGAATACTCAAAAAGGAAATAATTGTATTGCAATGGACTTTTCAGTTGATTTCAAATATATCTTAATACAGGAAATGACGTAATCCATCAGTTAACAAAAGAAAACAGCTCATCCCTTTATGTGTCCATCACTCTCCAGAATGGTACAACGCTGTATGAAATGTACGATCGATTCTCGGTCTCCATTGAAACAGAGAAATATCAACTCTTCCTAGCAGGACCCGCCACGGGGACCTTAGGTAAGTGTATTCAAGCTAAGTTCTTAAAATTGGGTTCAAATCAAGTATCATCAAATACTGCTTTTGCATTGAAAGATTATTAAGTTGTTGAATGAACAGAAAACGAAACTTTTTTTTCTAATATTCTGTAAACGTCTTTGATTCTATGTTAATTAAACGTTTTTAATATTTCACGATATCGTTTGTAGGTACAATTCACAAATTCTACGGTCATTGAATTTCTCATTGCTAAGTATTTGAAATTTAAAATGATATTTTATAAACACAAAAACAATTATGTTAAATTATTTGTAACTAGTATATCCAGTAACTACCCTTAATCCGCTTTTGTTATTTAGCTTAGGTTTCTTGATGATTTTCAATAATTCACATTTTTAACTACTACAGAATAGGAAGATTACAGCGCGTAATTAATATATAATGTCGGCATTTTCATAAAAGCTTGATGTTCAAAGAAGATTATTTGATCGGGAACATAGTCAAATTAAAACAGCCAAATTGAAAACATTTCAACTCATTTCATATTTACCAAAAAAAAAAAGAACCAGTTTGTTTTTTTAATCATAGTTTAAAAGTGTAACACCCCTGGGATTTATCGTTACATATATTAGAAAGGATGTTATATGAATTGCGCAGTGTATCTTTGAATTGTATTTCATATATTATCTCTCTTTACGGGAGACAACATGAGAAGTCATGATCTGCCTTAGATGTACCTCAGTATTATTGACAATAAGATTAATGTGATATGAATTAATTATCTCTGTAATATATTTTCTCTACAGGAGACAGTATGTTAATCACCCTTCCTTCTAACCGCGAACTGTCTGGGATGTACTTTAGTACCCCGGACAGAGATAACGACGGAAGGGACATAGGTAGCTGTGCTGCTCTCCCTAACCGTAGAGGAGGGTGGTGGTTTAATGACTGTCACTACGCCTTCCTGAACGGTCAATGGTCCCCGGGATTCTGGCGCAGACCTTGGTATCCTACAGTAATGAGTGGGACAACTGTTAAGGAGACATTGATGTTGATCAGGCGTCACTAGGTACACATCACTAATCTTAATAACCATTTACTCTTTGATATTTCCTTGAACATTTTAAACGATTATAAGAAAATTTGTATGAGGTATATAAACGTACCCTTTCATTTTTCTTAAACATTATTGAATTCCTTTAATTTTTTTTCCCCAACAGATTAATATTCAAAAAAAAGAAACCTCACATTGAGGACCAACCATGAGTCAGGCGAAATATTTCTCTTAAAAAGGGACAATTTTTAATTTATCTTCATCATGGGATTTTCTTCATTCTTTTTTTGGAACAATATATTTCATATCAAGTGAGAAAACTTGTAAAGGACTATATTTTGAGGGGTTTGTGGTTGTACTATTTACAGTTAAAGCTGTACATTGTATGTGTTGTAATAAATTTGAAATTAAAAACATTTCGATCTTATTTACAAACACTGCCACTTGAAGATGCTTGGACGGATGATTAGGATAAAGATTGGCCTACGTTAAACTTTTACAGTTGAAACTGTTTTCTCCGACACCTGTACAATCCGTTTCACTTTGAATTCCGACATTGAATTTCTTTTTCATTTCTACTAATTTCCCTGATCTTTACACTGTGGTATCTTATATCATGTAAATTTTTCTCCCAGTGCTTGTCTGGTAAAACAGGTTTCCTTGTACTGAAGATATATTATAACATAATCAGATGCATTTGATAATCATACTTTGTAGTACAATATATCCAAAACTACGTTTGTCTATAGAGAGATCCCACTTAGAACACAAGTCTGAAAACGTTCGTTCATTGAAGTTAATTTGGATAAAAAGTCCGACAATTTTCAACCTCGTTTGCTATAATTTACCGAATCGGATATTTTTTTCCGTACAGTCGAAATATATGGACGAAAGATAAAAAAAACCGTAAGCTTATCTTTTTTTCTGTTTTTCCTTATCTGTGAATTACCCGTTTGCTTTGTACATTAGCATGTGTATTCTGAAAGCTCAGGATGAATTTAGTTTGGGCGCTCTTCCATGTAAAACTGCATGGACTTACAAGCATGTATCCGTAGAATCGTGTAATTGGGATATTCTGTTTATTCGACGAAATTAGAGAAATGCATGGGTATATCATTCTGTACAATACAATTCTAAATTTGGTCGCAAATAATGCAAACTCACAAGTGATTAATTTAATTTTCGATTTTACCGAGAATTGAAAACTTCATCTCCACTTACAATTATTATGCATGTGTACATGCAGTTTATGTTTGTTTGTTTGTTTGTACGTTGTTTAACGTCCCTCTCGAGAATTTTTCAATCATATGGAGACGCCACCACTTGGCGGTTGAGAGCTACAAATTTTGTCCTATACTCGGCACTTACGGCCTATGAGCAGTGAGGGATCTTTTTCGTGCCAGCACCTACTGCGACACGGGACCTTGGTATATACGGTCTCATCCGAAAGACCCGTCTCCACGTCCCACAGTGGGATTCGAACCTGCGACGTAAGGATCAACTCCTTACTTCGTGACTCTAGAGCAGACGCTTTAACCAGTGCGCCACGCGGGCGACTACATGTAGTTAAAAACATGAGACAGAAAAATAAATTGTTGCAAACCTTGTGGTTAAGTCGGCAATTAAAATGCATAAAACTTGAAATGAATAAATGCACAGGCGGATAAGTAAATAATAAAAATAGGCATGAGACAGAGTGAAATGAAATAATATGTAAGATTCGAAATGATTTCAAACACAATTTTCCATTAATCGCTATGAGTGCACATTGCATTTAAACACCGATATGACTGCGGCTCGCTGATCTCTGCGTGTGAACGAGGAGTGGGTTACAACGCGGCGACAGAGCGGAATTTAAACTGTGTGCTGTAAGAAGGCGTGAATTATTGTATGTTTAAAGGTATTATTTTATGTATATAGTTTATTTAATATTAAATGAAAAATTAAATGAAGAAACAATAGACTGATAGTAAAAATTAATCAGGAAACAGTTAAAATTTTCTAATTACAATTTATTTAGTGGGTTAAGTTATAATTTGGATTGTTTTAGGATATAAAGATTCCAGATATTTCGTCCGTCGCTATAATATGTATTAAACTTCATTTGGCAAAAGTTTGAATTAAATTTGACGAGTTATAATTTTGCTAATAATTCATGATCAACACGGGAAGAAAACAAATTTCAGAACGCAAGTGTGTAAAAGCAGTACCCAGATCAAATTTCGGCGAATTTAGACTTTTTTTCCGTAAAATGTAACATTGATAAATCGGAACAGCCATAGATAAAACATTTACTATCATTATCAATTGTGTAGACGTCGTTGAGTCTTAGGCTAAAAGAAGCACTCCACCATGACGTCATCACGTGACGTCTATAATTAGAAAAATGGCCTTAATAAAAAAGTGAAAAGTTCAATACTACCCCGGAGATAATTCATTTCTTTGAGTGAAAATGATTATGTAAAAACATCACTGGGTAATGAAAAGAGCTGCTAAAATCATACTCTCCCAACACAGAAAAAAATATTCCAAAATTTCGCATGAAACCTTACAAAAATATTTACATTTTATACATACGATCAAGGAATTGTTATTAATTCATGTTAACCACATGACTCTAGCAGCACTTTCCAAGTACTATTGAATACAAGCTTTCGATACAAACAAAAATTATGTTTCAAAGTATGCGGCGTAGTGTTGAACTCTTGCATCTTTGTTGTTATAGAACGACAGAGGAAAGGCTGATCGGGATTTCAAAGCACTGCCTGTGTTTGTTATAAGAAAACATGATAAGAATATATCAGCGTACCTGATTCTTAATCTTTAATTCCTTATGAATCACACATAACATTCATGGTATATGCTTTGAAACTCCCATTTCATATATTTGTTTACATGAATTCTTGTCACCTTAAATTTCACTCGGCAAATATTTGTTCAATAGTTATGACGACATGGGTTTGGTATTTACCCCCTGTGCCAAATAATTAGCTATTTATACAACCCAAAAATAACAAGATTTAGTTTGTATTATGTTTTGAATGATTCCATTCATTTCTTGGACCTGAAACTAAACTTTAAATATAGATATTAAGAAATCATTATTTCTAAAGTTCACGTCATACAGCTTACTATGACGTCATATTGTAAAGGCAAGTAGGATATCTCTTGGTGTAGCCTTAACATACCTGCGAATAAATCACTGAACGTCTTGGAGCATCAACCTAATTAAAGATCATGAGCGCAGGCCGGAAAATGCTCAAAATAGAATATTTTTAACATGCTTCCAAGGGTTGCTCACACATCTTTCAAATGAAATATGTGGAGAAAACGAACACTATTCGAGCTAAAAAGCCCATTAAACAAAACAAACATTGGAGCAGAGCAAATATGGACCTCCAAAGCATCAGAGGTGCGATCAGGTGCCATGAAGGAGTGAGCATCCCCTGCTGACCGGTCACAACCGCCGTTGCTCCTTGTCAACTTCGGGGAAAAAAGTAAAATCCGTCGACAAGTCAGTTTGTATATAATGGCCTAACAATCAGTATTGAAAAAGTCAGTCAGCATTTGACTTAATAATAGATTGTATTTGCTGACAAGGTCATTGTATCGACCATAGAACTTACGAAATGATGACTTTAAACGAGACTGCTGATATACTATCTTCATCAACTTGTTTGTCAATAACTTACCTCGTTTTAGAAATTGTTCATATGTAGAACATGCTCTTCTGTATCGAATTAACTGAGAGATATAAACTCCGTATGAAAGTGACAAGGGTATATTGCTGCATAAGAAAGTGAGGTTGACGATTGAAAAGTTAAAGTCATCACATTTATCATAAAGCTTGGTTGTAAGATAATCATTAAAGTCTTTTTCTAGCAAAATATCCAAATATGAAACAGATGTGTCAGACTGTTGTATTTTATTTCATACTAACCGTGATATATCAAGTCGACACGATATAGAATGGAATAACTATTGTTAATTGACAATACGTCGTAGATATATCTTAATGTTGTGTTGAAGGCCACTGCAAGTGTTTTTTTTCTTTTCACGTAGAAGATTTTGAACAAACTCTGCTTCATATGAATACAAAAATAGGTCTGCTAATAAAGGGTAGCAATTGGTACCCATGGGAATTCCAACAGATTGTTGGAAAACCTGGTCTCCAAAAAGCACATAGATTTTGTCAATCAGAAACTCGAGCATCTTTTTAATATCAACTTCCGAGTACTAGTGTGTACAATCAGATTGTTTTTTAACAAAATAATTTTGCAATTCAAAAATGTGAAACATTCTAAGGATTTTATAATAAACTACGGCAACATCCAGTCTGGAAGTTAATCCTATAGATTTCGCATTGTTTCCATACATGAACAATGAACTGCGTAGGCTATAAAAAAGCCCAGAATTCTCATTTGAGATTCAAGTTTCGAAATACAAGATTCTAACTTCGAGATTCTAATTTCGAGACTAAAAATCCAAATTAACCAGTCAGAAGGCGGATTAAACATTTGATTACTTCCCTTTTACGAAATCTTTGAATATATTTATGACAATACAGGATATTTGATTAAATAATAATTAATGAGAGTTCTGGGATTTCGTAGAAGACTGTAATTTTTGGATCTTGCTGACATCAGATACGCAACAGAAGACATACTCGTCTACACTTCATTTTGTGTGTCTTTCTCGGGCAATGATAAACAAATAATGTTATCAAATGACTTACTTAAAGCATCATGATTTTACAAATGCTCTTTAATTCTAAACCGCTTGAAAAAATGGTATTGCCTTGCACAAGCTATTGAAGTTGTTATCATGCTTAATTATATAGTCTGTTTGGCTAATATTCATTATCACTGCCATTTGTTTGTTGTTTTGTGGCCTTATTTAAATCTAATATTTATGAAAACTAATTACTCTTGAAGGTGTTTGTTTCATTTGTTTAATTAGATACATTAATTCTTTTTAGTGCGCTGTGAATAAATTATTATTGACATACGGTTGAC